ACTGCGGTCCCACCTCATACACTTTTTCATGTTTGGTCATGAAAGTATGTCATGTTTTGGTACAGTTGTCATAGAAAGGACATAAAAAAGGCCAAAGTAAAAGCAAACAATCAATCCTTTGGTATCCTGAACTGGGATTTGGCAATCTTATCTGTTTCCCGTGACTTTACGAGGGTATTTTTAAAGCCATTCATCTCCAAAAGTCACCGAAGCGCGGAATGAATGCTATTAAAAGTTTGACATCGATAGAATACAGTAGATGATCAATCTAAATATTTCTTCCTTGACTTTTGAATGATGGAAGTTCCAAAATGGCCGACAATCGCAGGTGATTGTGAAACTAATCAGACAGGTCGGATGAATAGAAATGAACCCGCGCCATTGTATCAAGGCGCTGTTCTTCATTCCCCCTCCATGATAGCGCAAGCTTTTATTCCTCACGTTATCACCAAGCTCTTTTTCTCCCCATTCAAAGCGTCATTGTTCCCAAGGAATTCTTTGTATTTTGAATAATTAAGACGATAATTCGAACCATCCTGCTCACAGAAATGCGTCTGTTGGAGTGATTTAGGAGGAAGAAAAGTGTGTGTGTGTGTGTGTGTGTGTGTGTGTGTGTGTGTGTGTGTGTGTGTGCGTGTGTGTGTGTGTGTGTGTGTGTGTGTGTGTGTGTGTGTGTGTGTGTGTGTGCTGCACTGTATGTGTATGTTCATCTGGTAAGTCATGGGGTCCTTTTCGTCTCCAAAAGGTGGTTTTCATTTTCCAAACCCTCGCATGTCACATTCCGGCCCGCGCTGATTGCTACAAGCGGGTTGGCAAATATTTACCGTAATTTCCGAAACGGTTCTTATTTTCGGACCGGGGGGATGGGGCCTTTGCGTGACAGCAGGGAAAATGTGTGTGTTTAGTTTTTCACCGTGTCGTATTAATTCTGAGCTTTCTTCTGCTCTCTTCTACGCAGCCCTGCAACAAATCAGCAACTGTGGCTCTCCTTTCCCACATGCGGTGGCATGCTGTCAAAAACCCATTTAAAAAAAAACCAAAACGATTGCTATAAACTGCAGATTTTCGGGATATAGCAGGGATTTCTGCAACAGCAAGATCTGTTTCATAAAAAAATAAAAGAAAAAAGAAAAAAATCCGTGATATACATTGCAGTGGAGAAGCAGCATCCATTGCTCATTGAGCCCAGTCTCAGAACCCAAAAGATTACGGAAAGCAAAGCCAGTATCCCACTGAGTGGCGGAGTGTAATTAATGTTTATTTTTCATCAGGGTTTGTTCATGGTCACAAACCGTCGTAAAGATGTTCGGTAAATGTTCGCCAACAGATTTGATGTTCGCAAACGTTTTTTCTTGTCGCAACGAAATGTTGAACATGTTCAAGAAGAACAAAAAAACAATGTTTGGCGAACGTTTGCGACCTCAAACAAACTTTGACGAGAACTCGCCAACATTCACAAACGTTTGCCCCACGATAGGATACCGGCTTTAATTGCGTGAATGTCGTCTCCTCATGAGGCAGCTACCCGGTTTACACATCAGCAGACCTTGTCTTGAACAATCCCTCCTTTTGGTCAAGCGTGCTCCTTGCCTTGACTATTTACCGTAGCGTATAGTGTTACATACCGATGCCTTTTCCATTCTCACCCTCATTCAAAGTTTACGGGATTAACTGCGACATGTGTTTGTAATCACGACAGTCTCCCTGATTTCCTGCGGACCGCTTTGTCGGTCTGGAGGACCGCGGGCGGACCTCCTGAACTTGCTCACTGTCCTGCTTGAGCCGCTTTACCTTATTATTATTCTAATCTACCAGTGTTCCTCTTTCCTGCGCATAATTCTGTGCGTCGGCTTCTGGCCTGCAATTGATTATGTTATTACATACTAGAGGATGGAAACATCCAACAGGCATGTCCCTCTTGAGGCTGTTTTGGCTTGCAAAGGGCTGTTAATTTGGGTCGAATGGATGCAGGCTGCAGTTAGCATGAGGTTGGATTACCCCTGGATTGGTTTGCTTGGAGACACTGATGACGCTGGTCTTAGGTTTGCGGTCATTACATCATGTGCAGAAGTCAAGCGGAGCCTCTCTTCAGAAGGTTCATCCAGTAAAGGGAACACTTCGACAATACAAACCAGATGATTGAAATATTACAGTTGGAACTCTGAGAGACAATGCAAACATTGTGGCCATGCCGTGAATAGGTTCTTAAAAAGCTGTACTGCTTTATGATACTCCACCACAACAGCAAAAAAAAAAAAAGGCCTTGGATCCACTTTATTCGTCCGCTTTTCATCCTTGCAGGTGCGGCGAGGCTGTCGAAAAGAACAAGCACTTGATCACGTCGGACCAAAAAGAGTACCAGCAGGAGTTGAAGAAGAACTACAACCGCCTTCGCGAGAGCCTGAGGCCCATGCTGGAGAGAAAGATCCCCGAGCTGTACAAGCCCATCATCAGGCCTCGGCTGGAGAACAGGTGAAGGCGCACCTGAAAGTCACTCGCTTCAGATCCACTCATGATTCTGGTCTTTTTGGGTTTGTTGCCGTTTTATTAAATGAAAGCATTTGAGGAAACTGCACATCCACATTTGCATTCTTATGGGTGGAATTTCATTAAAATTAGACCTGCATTTAAATGGGGAATCATACCAAAGCATGCATAATGGGAGTGTATTCTGTAAACCAGGGGTGTCAAACTCATTTTAGTCGCGGGCCAATTTGGAGTTACGTCTTCCCTCAGAGAGCCGTTATGACAGTGAAACCACAAAATTATTACTTGTACACAACAAATTAATAGATTACTAGTTTTGAAATCAAGTGAAGTCAATTATAATAGTTTGTTTATTATACATGACAATTTTTCAGCAAGTTGACACGCATAAATTGCTTTTGCGGACCAAATAAAATGACCTGGCGGGCCAAATCTGGCTCCCGGGCCTTGAGTTTGACACCTGTGCTGTAAACGATATCAACATACATCACGTTTCTGAAAACATGAGCCATTCAGCTAATAAAAGGTTTAACAAACGTTTTTACACATAACCATGTTCCAACAACTCTGAGTCTCGTCCCCTAAACCGATTTAATATCTTCCATTGCTGGCCCCAATCATTTTTCAAGTAGATTCACGTGTGGGAAGGAAAAATCATTTAACACACCCCGCACCACGGGATAATCACTAAGGATAATCTTTTAGAGATGTTCAACAATCGGGCCTTTTGCTGACTTTTATCGGAAACGGAGGGGGGGTGGGGGCGCTCAAATTTGTTACAAAAGCACTTCTTACCCAGGTTGTATTTCGTTGCAGGGATTCCTTTAAACGTCTGAGTTTCCGCAAAACTCAGGAGGAAGTTTCCTGAGAGGCCATGGCGAATGTGGGATGCCACGCTTTGTGAAGAGGCGGAATAAATTGTCAGCGGCAACCTCAATACACCCCGCGACAGTTGGTTCACAGTTCTCAAAAAGACAACCAGCAGTGTTAATAATAAGAATACATGTCTGTCCTTCGTCATGGAACGCGACTTGACGCATGGAGCCATTCATTGTAACATATTCACATGTCCTAATGATGCTGGAAACGTTTTGAGACGTTCTCCATTAGGTTCTTGCTGGCTCAGGACCTCGTTTGTGTGCCAATAAGGTGTCAGTGTGTATGCGTGTGTGTGTGTGTGCTTGTGTGTGGATGTGACATAGCTGTGTCACTCAGACACAATAAATGATTCTGTTGTGTGCTAAAGGGCTTACTGATTTTCTAATCTGAGCGTTATACGTGCGATATAAATGTTTGTATGTTTGAATTTGAGGTTTTTTTTTTATTTATTTGGAGTTACCTGACAAGTTTGCATGGAGTGGATGGACAACCTAGTCAATAGATTTAATCCATGACGCATCAAATAGTGTACAAATCTACAAGAAAAGAGTGGATTTTATTTTGTGGAAATTGATTTTGTAGATAACAGGCACATTTGTATTGATGAAAATACTAATAGTCAGGGTTTGGTACTGTTTTAACGATGTGGATTGCAGTCTCACAGTGCCAAATGTATTTTTTTAATTACATTTTACAGAGCAATAATTTCAAATGCAACCACACATTCTTTATTTTATGTTTATTTTTTGTCACAATACATTCCATGAGAAACATTTCTCATTTCTCTTAAAAGGTGTATGTGGTTCTTTATTTTTCTGCAGCTTGTTTACCCAGGGCACACCCGGTAAATTACGGAATTTTGTGCTGTTTTGAAAACTGGGCTAATTGTTTACACAGATCGCTGTATTAAATAAATTCTATTTTGCAAGCCCATTTTGAGGTATACTAATATAAAATTTGGCATTGAAATGTATTATAATTTTAGCAAGACCACTCACTGGCCAAAACTTTAGGGATACAGTATGCCTTCACAAGCCAATGAGAATCAACACACCCACACAAAAATGGTCAGTTTTGATTGATACTATCTGAAAGATGTATTAATTTATCAATACATGTATATTTGTGCTGTAAACTGAACTGGGCAATACTGAGAGATTTCTGTCAGCACGTTTCAGTACTGTGGATTTCAATCACCACTGAGCAATATCTTTGTAAATAACTCTTGTTCTCCTTCATAATACATCTAGGAGGTGTACCCAGCCGCTGGATATGTGTTTTTCCCCATCATTAACTTTTTTTTTTTTTTACACGGAGTTTAACTGTACATGTTCTGTGCATAATACTGGCAAAGCACCTGAATAAACAATAAAATGTACACGTGTTGTCACTTGTTTGCTTGTTACCTTTTGAAAAAGAATCACATCATTATGATGTTATATTTTTACGAACATTAGGTTACAACCAAATCAAGTAATTAAAATGTATTGTAAAAGGTTTAATGCACGTCGTTGTCTCGTAATTATGACGTTTAACAACTGCGTAGCCAGTAATTTGTAGTTGTTCGTCCTTTTTCCATTCGGCAACATCGAAACCACCTTAATGCAGCAATTATTTCGTAACTTAATTTCACAACATATTGCTAGTCCAGTTATTTACACAATAGAGTATCGTTAACCGAAGCCGCTTAACAAGAGAGGTCTCGAGGGGGGAAAAAAACTACATTTCCCTTCTGTCTATTCCGTAAACGTCATCACATTTCGACACATTTGGCGGTCTCGTTTCGTGTGTCGGAGAGTCGGTGAAGTACAGTGAGTGGATTGTTTACAGCTTTGTGTAGTCTTTTCGTTCTCTGCTGAATATCATCGCTATTATTTTGACTTTAGGGATTAAATTAAAATGAAAACGATGTCAAGTCAGTACGGCATCTTGTCACGCCTTAAATTTACTCAGGGTCTGTCAACGCATGGAAAACAGTGCAGGACTTCGAATCACCGCGCATGCGCTAACTCTCAAGTCTGTCTCAATGTAATTCACATTTGAGATTTAAGTGTTTTTGCTGTCACGCGAACTTTTGAACCAGTATTTCTGGTCTTTTATGTGACATGGAGGAACAAAAGGGGGAGGTAAACCCTGATACAGACGACCTTCCACTTTGTGCCAATACTAGCCACATTCTAGTAAAGCACTATGCTCTTGACTTAACTGTTCATTTTGACAGGAATGTTATTAGTGGTAGTGTGGTTCTGTTCCTGGAACCTACTTCTTCCGAAGAGCACGAGGAATATGATGGGAACCAGACTGCTTGGTTTGGAAACACTGAACAACGTTCAAGTGATCTTCCAGGGGTCAGGATGGCAGCCGATCATATCAAGTCCTCACCCGAAGGTCATTTTTTCTTAGTGCTGGACTGCTGTGACATCACGGTATCAAAGGTGGAGCACGTGGACATCACATGCTTGTTGAACGCCTTTCCCGGTGTGCGACCCCCTGACCTCATCCAAAAGTTGGTCACCATGCCTTCTTCTCAGTGGAGGCGGCAGCAGGAGCTCTTCTCAGTGTGCGGCCGTGCCCCTGGTGTTGAGCAGAATGGCGACCAACTCCATTTTCACACCGACCGCTGGAGTCTACAGGTGTGGAAACAGGGGGTCTCCTCCCCACGGGAGTTCCCCCGGACCCTCAGGATTTGCTACGAGACGAAGCCTACTGGGGGCTCCGTGAGATGGACCAAAGACCAGGACAACATGTGAGTCAAAGTGGACAGTCCAGGAATCCAGTGTATCCCAACCTTTATTTGTCAGGGAAATCTCATGGCAAACCATCAAACAAAAATGTCACCAAAAGTATATATGCTGAAGCAATAATTATAACAATTGACTGAGAAATAATGTTACTCAGCGTGAAATCCGTCCTGTTTCATTGAACACAAAGCTATTTTGCTTTATGATTGGCAGCAGGTGTATACAGGGAAACTCGATCTTCTGGCATCAAGAAAAAAATGCAAAGAAAATGCCTTTTATTGCTCTGTATGACACTATACGTCACTGACATACTGTAGATAGGTGAACAAAGATGCTTTATGTGTGATAAATAATATTTTTTGTGACACTTAAATCAGGAAAAATGTAACATTGCATGATTTCCCACAGCACACCTGATGAAATGGCAAACCATCAACCAGATCATATGGCATATTATTGTGTAGCAGCATCGGCTAAATATCAGGCTGCCTGCCATTTTGTCCATTGAATCAAATAAAAATCTGATATTCTTGGCTACCACCAAAGTTGAACACAATCCCATAACTCACTGTGTTAAAAACCCAAAGCAAATAGTATACGTTGAAGTCATTTGTTATATTGTCAAATTGCATCAGTCTTCAATCTTAAACTGTACAGGCAAACTTTTTTTTGTTTGTTTTTTTAAATGTTAACAGCTGTATAATGAAATGAAAGTCAAAACGACTTCGCCTTTCAAGACAACTGACAAGAAGGTGCAGAGTAATGCTGTCACCAAGTGACGTTTTATAGGTAATGTTGATTTTTGTGGTGAAATCATTGGTTCGTGGTTAGCACAACTGTCTCGCATTTCTGAGTTTTTGTGTTTGAATCTCCGCTACGGCTATCCTGTGTGAAGTTTGCTTGTTCTCCCCTCCACATGCGTGGGTTTTCACTGGATCTTCCTCCCACCTTCCAAAAACATGCATGTTCAGTGAAGGTCATTGAAGACTAAATTGTCCATTGGTGTGAATGTTGGTGTGAACGTTTGTTTGTCTGTTTGTGCTACGATTGGTATATTGTATTGTATGATTGCACTTATTTCGGGTATCCTACTGCCATCACAAGTACATACTGGTTGAGTTCATCCTGTAGATGTTCACTTAGTTGAAGTCTCAAAACATTTGTGGAAAAACTTTTGAAGCGTATTTGGTGTTTTTATTTTTGTTTGAACTTGAAATTGTACCCCTTTTTTGGAGACTTTTGACGAAATTCGGTCATCTATTAATTATTCCTTCCAGGGCGTGCGTGTACACCGCTGGCTCGCCTATCAACAACCGAGCCCTCTTCCCCTGCCAGGAGCCGCCTGTTGCCATGTCAACGTGGCAGGCCAGCGTGCGGGCCCCCCGCGACTGTGTGGTCTTGATGAGCGGGGAGGAGCAGGTTGCGCCTACTGAGGATGGGGACCCAAGTAAGGTTAAATAATGCGTAGGGATCATCTATTGCTGAATGAACACTTTTTAGTCTGTCCTTTGCATTCTTCAACTGCCGACTTGTGTCAGAGTTGTTGAAAAAGAGTGACATATTGCTTTCATTGACATTAAATTGCTGACATTGTATTTGAATTGTTTGTACTGAGGAAAAAGTGTCCACTGTGTCTATTTACAGAGGTACATTACTGTACACGGTGGCATGATTGCAATGTCATGGCAGGGAAGGAGAAGTGACTTTTGGCTTTTCCCTGTCACATGTTATGTTTGGTACAAAAAATAAAAAGCTTCTGCCTTAGTTTTGATGAACACTTTGGCCTATTAAGCTATTTTCTGTAATATAAGGTTAGTCACCATGGCTGTACTTGGAGAGCAAGTCTTTTTTTTTTTTTTAATGTGGTACGTGGTATGAACAGTTTGACGACTCCTGTAGAAAATAGCAGCGGGGAAACGATAAAAACGCCCTTTTAGCCTTGATTTCATGTAAACTTGCACGTAGGACATTTTACAAGCCTTTGTCTGTGGTCTCTGCAGGCTTGTTGCTGTGGAATTACTACGTCACAATGCCCATGCCGGCCTCCACCTTCACCTTGGCAGTGGGCCGCTGGCAACAAGTCCCTGCTCAACTTCTTCCTGCGAGTGAAATTGGGCGGAGGGAAAAGGGGGATGATTTTGGGGAGCTTGTCCCCGTGTCCTCACTCGGAGGTTCAAGCAGTAAAGTAGTAAAAGGCTCCAGGCTCCACACTGGCAGGTAGATTATTTCTTTTTTTTTTTTTTGGCTGTTTGCTTTTTATTTTCTCAAGACCTCCTCCTTTCCTGGTGTCATTAACCCAAGTCTGGCCTCTTCACATTCCATGACAAACTTTTTCCTTTTCATTCCCCCAAACATGGTGAGGTTTAGGGCGCAGCGGCTCTCGCTCAGGCTTTTTATGACAAATACATCAAAGCATTGAGAATTCCATCCTCTGGATTCGGTGCCCAGTAGAAATTATCTTTGGAGTGCAAACAAGTGAAGCAGACACACATTTTTTATGGATAGAGGATACAGTGAGTGACTGAGCTGCAGGGCCCAGTTGGACTGGGGTCCCCACTCCTCAGCCCTGCTGCGTGTGCCAGTGATTTCCAGTAAGCCTCCTCCTCCCGCCCTGGTTTTCCTCTCGTGGTAGTCCAGCCGTAGCCTGCCGCCGGCCTCAGGAATCTCCCACTACAAGGCAGGCCTTTATTTTCAGTGAATGGTTGGAAGGAAACTTGGACGCGGCTCGAAAACCCTTGGATACGGAGTCAGCACTGGTTGTAGAAGAGAAAGAATACGATTGCATAGTGACACCTTGATATTTTTAGGAGCGGTTTTGTATATCGTCCATATTTCCATGGCTTTCGTTCCCACGCTTAGAACAAAGAGACAGCACACATGGAATGAGTATTATACCTCACGCATGCGCTGTGCGCTTAGTGGGAAAACCTATTAAAAAGCCTTTTATTAACCTTGGATTAAACTTATCTTTTCAATGCGTTCCAAGGGAAGAGCCGACCGCCTGCTTGGGCTCGTCGTCCTCTCAACACGAGAGCGTTTCTGTGTCCGACCATTCAGCCATGTTGGATGACGGCTTCCCTTGTTCCCATGGCGACTACCCTTGCCGGTTCATCGAGCGCGCCGTGAAGTCACAGCGTGTGATCCCGCACCGTGTGTTTGCGCCCGTTGGGCTGCTGCAGAAGGCGCAGGTTGGGACCTTTCACACTTCAGATAATAATACAATGGTTCCTTGTCTTACTTGTGTCCCAAATCACAGTTATGATTGGCCGCTCCGTTGATTGATTAATTTATTTAATATATGTATGTGAGCAAAAATGTAATTTAAAAGTGATCTTTTTTTTTTTCTTTAAAACATTTTTTCAACAAAGAAGCCCAGTGCGCTTGCTTGAAGCTGTTAATGCCGCTTCCCAGCTGAATAGTCTGTGAAACTAAATAAAGCAACACACGTTTTTTATTCAACCAAGCCACATAACTTTTTTTAATGAAATCTGAGATCTGCTAGCATAATGCTAACACAATGAGTAACACCATAGAAAAGGTGAATGAAAGTAGCACCAATATTGCAGAAGTTATGAACTTTTAAACAACCAATATTAAAACACATCACATATGGACAGCATATGAAAATACAATACTTTTTCTCCTCTTTTTTTTTTTTTTTTGAAGTTTATTTTTTCTGTAAACAAATTTTTTGGCGTGGGAAAACAAAGTCAATACTTCAAACTATGATTTTTGTTTTTGCCTCATACACTTACTACAACCTTTTTTTTTCAATCAAATATAATGTTTTCCCCTTTTGTCAGAAAAAGAGTTATTTTAATTTTTTGAATAAATATAAACATTTTTACACCGCTTGCTTCCTCGAAAAACTATTCAAGTGTTTTTATTCGGACTAACATCTGTATTTTTGCTGTGCTAAAGACACTTGTTGATGTTCTCATTGCAGAGCAGAATCCTCGCCCTGTTGCCGCGATGTTTAGCCGCAGCCCAGGCAGTTCTGGGAGTTCATCCTTTCCCCCGCCTTGATGTTCTCATCGTGCCAGCAGGGTTTTCCAGTCTGGGCATGGCCAGGTACGAACACACACATGCGCAAACACAGGGTGGGGAGATGGTTAGTTACAGTCTGGTGAAATCGTGCCGTGGCTGTGTTCAATAGCAAATATAGACTGACTCTGTTTATTAAAAATCGTTGTCGTGTAGTCGCCGAAGCATTAGTCAAGCAGGACTTATAAATTCTCAGATGATATGTTTTGAGGTGTTTTACTCCCCCCCCCCGCCCCACTTTTTTTTTTTTTTTTTTTGGAAGACACGAGCTATAATTTTCATATAGCAACGAAAACATTGAGCTTGGCTGCCACACTGTTGACGCTTTAATCTGCTGCCTGGGCTCCACTTCACTTGTTTTTGGAGTGTGATTCATGGCATGTTTCGTATGTAACCCCCCCGCCCCCACATCTTCTTTTAAAGGTCCTTACTGAATTGTAGGGTCCAAGGGCAACTCCCCATTACTTATCTTCTCTTATGAAATGTAGCCTTCACCGCCCTCCTTAAAAACTGGACCTGCACTTTCCTCATCTTCCCCCAAACACACCACATCTGCAAAAAGCTCTCATCCTGAACTCACTTCTGCGGTAATTTTTCTCAATCCCCCCTTTCCACTCCTAAAGCCATGGTTCAGGTGGTCTCCAGGCTCTTCTCTCTACAAGCCAGATTTGTGTTGATGTTTTTGCGTGCAGTGTAAGCATAGGTCTGCCTGTTGATGTGCTGGTCCTCCGCAAACTAAATAAATGTACTTTTATGCATATCTTTGTTACGCCTTCACCATACCATGTCCTCTTCACCCTCTATCCACTCCGTTCATTAAAAATCCCTTTTTTTTGTATGGAAACACAAGATCTGGGCTTTTTTCCCCTGAAAAATATGTATATATTTTTAAAAAATCTTAAGAAATTTCCACAGATTTTTTTTTTTTTGTAACATTGCAACACTTGAAAAATCCACCGTCATAAAGATTTTAATCAACCTAAAACATGTCAGAGTACTTGCAAAATGGCATGCATTTTCTGAAAAAAAAATCTGGATATCTTCACACATAAAGCTTGTTTATGCGTTACAAATCTGTGAGAATTATTTCATTTCAGCAACCATGCACTTTCCGCATCAAGCACCTACGAAAATTTGTAACTGACGCTGATGGTCCGCGGGCAAAAACATGGTGGACAGGCAGCTTTCTACTTCCCGATTTTTGTTTTCATTTATTTTGTTCAATGTATGTTGACTGTTGGCCACAAACTGTTGTTGTCGATAGTTTATTGAATTAAAAAAATAATAATTTCCTGCTTCTATTATGGTAAACTGTTGTTTATATGCCGTAGATCCTTGATGGTCGTCATAGGAATGAAGCTAAAATTGAAGCGGAAATGATGACTGTTAACGTTCTGGCCAGTGACCTTGTTGACAAAGAAAAGTAATTCGGGGCGTTCAGTCAACATTGTCCATGTCTCTGTTATTTTATTCCCTTGCAAGACTGGACATGAGCTCATTGCCGCAAATGTCTGCTCAGTGCGTCATGGCCCCAGATTAGCTTCTCTCGCAAATATTTGGAGAGCATTGGGGTCGCCGCCTGGGCTACTTCTCAACTTTGCACGTTCATTACAGCAAGTGTTCACCCTAAATGCCCTTTGATCTTCATCTTTCATCTTATAAGATTCTTTCTCTGTGCTGCATTTTTTTTTTTGAAAGAACATCAAGTTTTAACACACAGGCTGCTCTTCAGTGGCTTTTGCCTGATGTTTTCAGTTCCTCAAGAGGAAATCTCTCTGGTGCTTTCACACTGCATTGCTGCAAATAGTGGCCTCCACTTTAATGGGTGTCTCTGTTCAGGAAAAATAAGCATCCCACCCCAAATAAGTTCCTCAGGGAAAAATTGTAGTCATACTTCAGTCGGTAGACACTTTTGTGAGAGAGGTATTTCACTGTTGAACCCATTTGAACTCTTATGCAAACTGAAACAGCAACACCTACTGTCCTTTCGCATTCCCGTCACCTCCGTGCTCCCTCTGCAGTGTATCTCGCGGTTAGCACATCTGTCTCCCAGTTCTGAGGCTCGGGGGTTTGAATCGTTGCCTTCCTGTGTGGAGTTTGAACACATTGCCCGTGTTTGTGTGGGTTTTCTCCAGGTACTTTGACTCCCTCCTATATTCAATAAACATGAACTGGACGTGAAATGAAATTCGACAGATGTACGAACTAACCACTTGACCTCCATGCGATCCCAAGCATGATTATTTAACCTGTGGATGAATGCTTTGAAAATGAGCATAAAAATGTCTTTGTACAAAGGAAGGGTTTCCCCTAAACTCCTTGCCCGTAATAGGTGCTTGATCTTTTCTGCAGTGGACTAAATAAACAGCGCTTCCCACTAATGAGGAAATACGGTACTTCCCGCCCTCATGTGCCTGCTAAAACTTAACTCACAACAGGGGAACAAGATTTAAGGACTTTGTCAAGCTTGAGACAGCGCCTCCATTGACTCCTTGTAAAACTCTGCACAGGTCTCAACTCGGTCATCTTACTTGAATCCTCCCTTCGTCCCGGGTGGTTCAGGTCCCAAGTTGCCCACGCACGTCACAGCGGGGGAGTTGTGCCTTCGGAAGGTTGGGAGGTCAACCAAAATGGAAGATTGAGACGATGATGAGACACCGAGGCGGTGTTCACAACAGGCCAGTGGACCCCTGGGATGTGGGAGAGGATGTGCGGATTATTCCCAGCAACAAAAGCCATTAGCCTCTGGAAGGACTTCAGAGACAGGCGCTATTTAATCTCGAAATTGGGAGGCATGTGGGAACGGCTTGGGAGTGGGCCAAGTGCCGATTTTGTGCAGTGGCCCGGCGGAAACAGCAGGAGTGGAGGGCCCTGTGGCAGGCAGGCATGAAGCTGTTGTAGTGTGATCCAGAGGAAAGCGGGAGGCGGAGGATTCACAGTGGTGTGAAGTTTTTATACCCAGATACACAGTGGGAGGGCAGGAAACGCAAGATTAATAAGTCAAGTAAGGGCAGCTCTGCATTCTGAGACCGCAACAAACACCGTGTAGTCTACACACACACACACACACACACACACACGCACACACACACACACACACACACACACACACACACACACACACACATACACACACACCATTATGTGTGAACAAGGCTTACGAAAATATAGGCATGACGCCAGTCAGCACTTTAAGGAATTTACCAATTTTACGTGCTTTCATGTAACTATGAGAAGTGTTCTCTTTTTTTTCCTTTTCCCCCCCAGCATAAGCCCCATGTTCGCGGGCTGCAGAAATTCTTTCAATGTTTTTCTCTGAGAAAGACAAATTGACACCGGAAAAGGGAGCACAAATGCAGAGATGGCTTGTGTAGAAAGGGGAACACTTAAGGAAGCAGTTGAAAGGGGAAGCACAGTCAAACAATTTCTATATAGTAATATCTTCTATGAGGCCCAAATCATCGAAACACACCATTCTGATTAGTATTGCATTAGTGGAATGTGAATTAAGCCGCAAAATTTATTTTTATCCGTCGAAGGAGGTGGCTGTTTTGCCAAAAAGATTTCATAGATAATTGCAGTGCAGGTTTGACGACGCCAATTGCAGACGTGGCGTCGTTCCGCTGGTGATGTGGTGCTCACGCATACTCATTGTAAGCTAGCAGAGGCTAACTCCGATTTAAAGCATATATAATTTTTTTTTTACACACTCATGTCATATTCCTTGGACCATGATTTTTGAGAACATCCCATACACCAAATCGTCATTATAATCTACGATATGGTGTATACACATGATCCACTTAAAACCCACACTCAAGTCACCAGATAAAGGGTTAATACAGTGGAGAAATCTCGCCGTTGCATCTCAACGTCATTTACTTCTGACTGGGAGTGACAGGAAGGGCACTGCGTTTCCTCTGGCCTCTTTGAAGCTAACGTCTGTGCCCGTTGCACTTGTTGAACCCATCAGATATGAGCGTGGCATGCCAGAGAGGGTGGTAATTCCCCCCTGCGGAACCTTTTGTTGAGAAATGACATAGGTGTTGAAATGGCCGTTTCTCGTAGCATGGGTGATGAGGGTGTTATGCTTCACTGCTGACACATGGATTCCTGTGCTTGTCTTGGTTATGAATGCATCCATTGTTTGCATTGTGGTCATGATATGTGTTCCGGGATGATGTCACACAAACACACATATGTCATTGTCACGTTGTTTGCAAACAGGCAAACGAGAGATGACCCTACATTCTTGATAGTGGACTCTGATAAGCCTGCGTGTGTGCCTGTGTGCGTGCGTGCCTTCGTGTGTGCCTGAGTGCGTGCATGCATGCCTGCGTGCGTGTCTTGGTGAATCTCATTGGAAAAAGATGTTTTAGACCACATTGGATGTATTCCTAATCCTCTTTTTTTTATTGATTCCTTTTAAGCCTTTCAGCTGACAGGTGGCTGTCTGAACAAAATTGGGTAAAAAAAAAAAAAAAGGATCATGGACCTTGTACTTGCGCTGCAGTGGCAATATAGCTGTCAAAGTGGGGAAATTATGTCATGGTCTATACCTCTTGACCTTACTAAGTGGCACCAGAGGATTTTCAGCCTGACTTCAGTTGACTGCATCCCATGTTTATGATCCAAAAGGAAGCAACATTGGTCCCATTTGGGAGGAAGTTACTCGCCGGGCTGCCATGAGGCTCTTGGCACCCTGCTGGACGCTCGCTATCCAGCTGCCGTGTTGCCCTTTAGCGCAGCGATACAGTTTTAAACTTATATTGGACTGAGCCCATGATTGCGTGATTTTTGTGGTCATCCAGTAATTATATACCGCTCCTCAGCTACCTTAAGTGAACACTTACATCAACAGAAATCCAGCACACATTTTTTTTTCTCTATCGCATATAGCCGTTTGGGTCGTCAACTTTCTAGCGAGCTTAAAGCACAGAGATTCTCGTCAGATATCACTGGAGTAGCCATCGACTATGGCCAGAACTATGAGAGGTTTTTTTTCATTGATGAAATTTGCTCAGCCGGCAAGTACGCTACTTGTTCCTTTTAGGGGTTTCGATGTAAACATTTATGAGGATGAAGTATTGAGCGCTCTCTGATTAAAAAAAAAAAAAACAAACAAACAAAACAATTGCACCTTGATGTAAACGGACTGTGCAGGATCCTTGTTTGATTAAACAGCATCCAACTCTAGTTTGACTTTGATGCATCAAACGCTTGATGGGAAACTGCCATCTTTTTTCCCCCAGCTCAAATTTTATAAAACACAGTATAGCGTCCATGTCCAGATACTGGTTACTGGGCAACAAAACACTGCCACTACAAAAACATAATAGAACATCTTCAGGCAGAGGCCTAACTCTGGTTTAAAGCCCAATTTTGAAAACCAATCCCTGGCTTGAAACCCAAGCCTCACTTTAACGAAACCAAATCCTCAGAATTTCAGTCTCTCTGCAGTAAGTATCCTCAGATTTCTGCAGTCCTTCATGAAAACAGATAGATTATCTTTGCTTCGAATCAACATAAAACTTTTGCAAACATCTGCTTGTACTTTGGACTATGGAAAACAATGATTAACATTTTTGCCCATTGCCCGTTCGCCAAATAATCAACAGATTAATCGATGATTAAAATAATCATCAGTTGCAGACCTCCAAGCAAGAAACAATATCTTGGTGTCTTCCTTTGATTACTCCCGTGGCCGCATATCCGGTTGATGGCAACTGCCAGCAGGTGCATCACAGGAGACTCCGCCCACCGACATTCTCTGGAAACCTCAACATGAAAGGAGAAAAAAAAAAAACTCAAGCAGAACAGCACCAAACCAAGATTTTGACCGTGTGTGCTTTTTTATTAGTAACTGACCTGATAAGTGAAACATTCCTATCCATGACGATTTCCTGATATTTATTTGCGTTGCACTGTACAGTATCTGGTTAATTTCAGTTTCTTGTCTGGAATTTGGCGCTTGAGGCTGAGGTAGTACAATTTCTCCTTGCTACCTCCAATGAATGCTGATTGAAAGAGATGACGACCATTCAAAGCGCAAATAACACTCAAAACCGACAGTTCTTTGTTCCTTTGATTTACCCCCCCCCCCCTCGACTTGTCCTCCTCTCTCTTCTTTATCACGTCTCAAAGGATTTCCTGCCTTTCTGCTCTCTTCTCCAGCTCAATCCATGTGGTAACTCTAGAAGTGTGCGACAGTCTTTGCTTTTCAGGGGCGACTTGGGAGGTATTGTGCCAGGAAGGTGTGATGTGATTTTTCTTTTTTTGGGGGGGGGTGAGTTTCTTTTTTGCATCGGAGGGGGACATCTGTTAATCAAGTAGTTAAGGATGAGCTGTTTTTTTCTTTTCACCTTAAGTGGATGTTCTCCGTTTCTGTAGCGCCATAAAGGCACCGTGACGGGATGAAAAGGCAACTCCGCATGCCTGCACAGGGACAGAGGATGGAGGAGTGCCCATCTCCACACTTTAAAGTGATTACAAGTAGTTAAGACTTTTCGGGAGAGCTTTTTTTTTCTTTTTCTTTTTTTCAGTAACCCCGGGAACGCAGCTCACAAATCCAAAGTGTTGGCACTGGATCCTTGAGCCTTGATTCCTGGAACCCGACTTTGAAACCATATCACTTCCTTGAAACTCTGACTTGAAACCTCAGTCTTGCCTTGAAATCATAATTCTAAAACCTAACACAGGCTTGAAATACGAGTCTTAATTACGCATTCATTTGAAACCGAAACCCTGACCATGACTGCAGAATCAAATCCAGACTTGAAACCTTAAATTTATATTTTCGTGGGGGTAGAGCTGTGATACAAAGTTCTATCGTGCGGTCGAAGTGCTTATATCATTAGATTTACCTTACCGAGTTAATCCTATTTTTTCCTTGCCTCATATTACTTTTTTATCTACTTTATCTGAATATTTGTGTTTTGTTTTTATTCATTTAATTCTGTGGCCTATATTTAAAAAAAACATTTTATAGTTGAATGGGGAATAGGTAACACAAAATCGCCACACATTCTCATATATCGGGATACATTTATATTGTTGTGTGGATATAAAATTATATATAGCGGGATATGGTTTTGTCCACATTGCACAGCTCTACAATGGGAGGGAGACGGTATGTCTGTTAATCAAGTGGTCAAGCATGAGCTGTTTCTATCACCTCCATTCTGGAGCTCCATAAACAGCACTGTGATCTTTTTCCTCCTTTCTACTGTCTGAGGGAGCACAACTCCCATAGCCAACGTTTTGACACCTGATCTTTCATCCAGCATTTCCCCGTGCTCTCAATAGCCCAGCACTTTTCGTATCTAATAAAGCATTACCCCCACTTGAAGTTTCAAGCCGAGCAATTTTACTCCGGTTGACAGGCGCGGCTGACACACTTTGTCGTGAGACTGTGTGACTATTTCACCACGGCAAGAATCACCGAACGATTTATTTTTGATAGCTTAAGGATTTTATGAGCAACTGTAAAAATGTATTTGCGGCATTACTCAAAATTATAGCTACTCTTGGATATGCTTTTATTTTCCCCCACCCCCTTCCCCCTGGAGGCGACATCCTCTGTACGACTCCAGTGTGATCAATGATCGGATAGCCGAGATGTGTTGCACTGAACTGCCCTCAGATGTGAACCTGCCGGCAACAGCTGGCATATAGTGCTGCGAGCAACAGTAAAGCAGACACACTGTGCTATAACTCTGGATTAAAGGCCACGGCAAGACAGCCCTGTCCCTGCACACCCATTCCCCTAACTAATGGATGAGTCCACAGAACCCATTGCAAGAGGTGATGGATGGACCCATTGTGCAGCGTAGGGGACACGGCTGCTCTTGATGCGTATCCTGAGCTAGGAGTGTGTGTGGCGTTTGTTTGTGTGGCACCTTGAGGCCGAGGGTAATTTCATCTGTCTGCGCAAAGCCAGACGCTTTAATGGTCGTGGGACCTCTGCGAAACAAAGTGCTGTGGAAAGCTATGCTGTAATATTTTCCTCTTCGCCCGTGTTGCTCGCAGCCTCGGGGAAAGAGTTGCTCTCCAAGTCCTTTCCTAGCT